TTAAAAGTTCAGATTTCAAAGAGGCTAAAGTTGTTTTGTTTGGTTTTTTTACTGGTTCATTCCTGTGGTTTTAGGTTCTCTTAGTGAGCTTCTGGAGAACATATCGGTGCGGAGTTTCCTTCAGCTGTCCAGAGCATAGAGTAGCACAGTGTTGCCCTCCTCAAACTGTTGCTGTACACTGCCAGTCAGCTGGCTCAAAGGATTGTGCCTAGTCTTCAAACTTTGAAACTTTCTTTTTTTTTTATGACTGTGACCTGGATGATTGAGAATCTTCACCAACATACTGCAGGGGTTGATATTAAGGATTTTTACCACTTGCCCTTTGGGCAAGTGACTTTCACATTTCATTTGCCCAGAAACAATTTTTACTTGCCCAGTTTAATGTTTGAGAAATATAGTTCCTAATAGGGAGGCAAGATATTGGGATTTTGGCCGATATGCCGATATTTTAAAACTCATGTAGCCGATAACCGATATCGATACTGATGTTAAAGCTGGACAAAAATAAGTAGTCATTGAAAATAGCAGTTTTGTTATCCATTTCTGACACTTTGAAAAATAATATACTCAAATACACTCACCGGCCACTTTATTAGGTACACCTGTCCAACTGCTCGTTAACACTTAATTTCTAAGCAGCCAATCACATGGCGGCAACTCAGTGCATTTAGGCATGTAGACATGGTCAAGACAATTTCCTGCAGTTCAAAGCGAGCATCAGTATGGGGAAGAAAGGTGATTTGAGTGACTTTGAACGTGGCATGATTGTTGGTGCCAGAAGGGCTGGTCTGAGTATTTCAGAAACTGCTGATCTACTGGGATTTTCACGCACAACCATCTCTAGGGTTTACAGAGAATGGTCCGAAAAAGAAAAAACATCCAGTGAGCGGCAGTTCTGTGGGCGGAAATGCCTTGTTGATGCCAGAGGTCAGAGGAGAATGGCCAGACTGGTTGGAGCTGATAGAAGGGCAACAGTGACTCAAATAACCACCCGTTACAACCAAGGTGGGCAGAAGAGCATCTCTGAACGCACAGTACGTCGAACTTTGAGGCAGATGGGCTACAGCAGCAGAAGACCACACCGGGTGCCACTCCTTTCAGCTAATAACAGGAAACTGAGGCTACAATTTGCACAAGCTCATGGAAATTGGACAATAGAAGATTGGAAAAACGTTGCCTGGTCTGATGAGTCTCGATTTCTGCTGCGACATTCGGATGGTAGGGTCAGAATTTGGCGTCTACAACATGAAAGCATGGATCCATCCTGCCTTGTATCAACGGTTCAGGCTGGTGGTGGTGGTGTCATGGTGTGGGGAATATTTTCTTGGCACTCTTTGGGCCCCTTGGTACCAATTGAGCATCGTTGCAACGCCACAGCCTACCTGAGTATTGTTGCTGACCATGTCCATCCCTTTATGACCACAATGTACCCAACTTCTGATGGCTACTTTCAGCAGGATAATGCGCCATGTCATAAAGCTGGAATCATCTCAGACTGGTTTCTTGAACATGACAATGAGTTCACTGTACTCAAATGGCCTCCACAGTCACCAGATCTCAATCCAATAGAGCATCTTTGGGATGTGGTGAAACGGGAGATTCGCATCATGGATGTGCAGCCGACAAATCTGCGGCAACTGTGTGATGCCATCATGTCATTATGGACCAAACTCCCTGAGGAATGCTTCCAGCACCGTGTTGAATCTATGCCACGAAGAATTGAGGCAGTTCTGAAGGCAAAAGGGGGTCCAACCCGTTACTAGCATGGGGTACCTAATAAAGTGGCCGGTGAGTGTATATTTTCATATGCTGATATCAAAGTGATTTTTAAAAACGCGGTATCGATCTATTTTACTTTCAAAATCTCGTAAAATTTCATCCTTCTGTTACAAACTCTCGTGATATTTTGCAAATTCTTGTGAGATTTTGTTAGTAAAATAGATCGATACCGCGTCAATATATCAACATATAAAAATATGGCAACATTTGGTGAATTTTCGGGGGATTTCGTAGCATAACGATGACATATAGCAATATTTCATTAGTAAAAGAGATTGATATGGTGTTTTTAAATGGCAATATATCAGCATATGAAGATATTGGGATATTTTAATGGATCAATATTTTTTCCCTCGTCTTTAGAAGTTTTTAAGTTTGTAAAAAAGAAGTTTTTGAGGAAGAAGAAGAAGTAGTACTTTTTATTTTTTTAGACTTTAGAAACTCAGAAGCTGATCAAATATCGGGTTAAATATCGGTGGGGTGGCCGATGTCCGATATTCAGTTTTTAGGCCGATACCGATAGGGGGCCGATTATATCGTGCATCTCTAGTTCCTAATATTCATTTTTGTATATATATCAATGAAACATGTAATTTAGTAAGTTTCCAGGTTCCTGGTGTGTATATGCATGCATCAGATTGCGTCTGAATCACGCCATCTAGCGGAAAATCACGCAGCTTTTTCAAATCACGCGAGAATGTGTACAAAACAACAAAGATGGCGCCGGCAACGCTTGTGGGTCGTTTTCAGCGAATGTCGGTGATTTTAAAGTAATTTTGAATGATAAATATTTTTTTTTTTTTATGATCATTGCCCGGCGGGCAAATGCAATGAAATTTGTTCTCTCCCGACAATAAAAACTACTTGCCCCGGGAGATCGGGCGATGGTTAACATCGAGCCCTGTACTGTAATCTTTGTTAGTCTCGTTTTCCTTTTCCTATTTTTATTAAAACATAAAAGAACAAAACAGGATCTTAGATATTATTTCAGGTTTTGCCCAAACAACCTTTAAAGTAGCTCTGTTAATTTCCATAATCTGCTTCCTGTTAGGGATGGAGTAAAGCGTAGACAGAAGGTGTAATATTTTAGGAAGTATTGTCATTTTCTTTAGGAACCATATGAGGATCTTCATCCAACTACCATCTTTATCTTCAAAATGCTTAAACAATGCGTTCACATTCTTGTTATGAAGTTGACAAATCTTTGGCATAATGTGAGCCCTCCAGGCCTCCAGGTTCACAGAATAAGACTCGTCCGCTCCTGTGGTTTTCCGTTCTCGGAGTTTAACCAGGGACCCCAAAATCAGTCCGAATTCTTCAACACCGTTAATGAATGCTGGGATCGATTTTGTTGGATCAGTTGGAGTCAAAAGAGCGTAATCTGCATAAAGCAGAACTTCCTTTAGACTTTCAACTAAACTTTATTTATAAAGCCCTTTAAAACAGCCACAGCTGTAACAAAGTGCTGTACATATCAGGTAAAGTTAGAGTTGTATAAAAACAATACAGAAGTTTAAAGGAATAAAGCAAATATAATAAAATGAAATACAGTAGAAGGCATTAAAATCGCTCTTCCCAGCTGAACAGCAGCCGAATGGCAAACCCACTTCCCTGCAACTCCCAACAATCCCCTCCAACTTCCAGCCACTGGAATTACCTCCTCTTGCATATTTTTTTTACTCTTGACCTCAGACTTTCACTGAATTAAGGGTCTGACTAGGAGATGATGCTTCGTTTTAGATCTTAATGTCCACAAATCATGACATTAAAAATGAGTTGTAGGAGCCAAGGATCCATCGAGGAAAGTGTAAATGATTCAAAACTGATAAAACCAAATAAAAAAACCATGAAAATAATCCACAAATCCAAAAACAGAGTGGGTTTCATGCTATGTTAAAAGCCAAAGAATTAAAAAAATCAGGTCAGCTGACCAGAGCCACCGAGTGAGGTCTAGAAGCACAAGATCTATATCCAGCCGTTCAGCAAAGATGCTGCTACATGGCTGCACATCTGATTTTGGCATCTGACCAATTAGATGAGCCCTTGAATGATAGATTACCTGCTGGAAATTAAGCTGAGAAAAAAAAAAGTCAAGAAAAAAAGGAAAAAGGCTAATTGAAAAGTAAAAAAATAAGTTAATAAGCCTAGTTAACAATTATATTTTGGTTTATAAACTAAAAAATGTAAGTAACAGTATCAGGATTAAAGCCTCTAAGGTTATATTGGACCAAATAAAATGTGTTTCTTTCACACTCAGAGTTTTTTTCCATGAATTTCTTATAGAAGCACTTTTATTCTTTTTCTTAATATATTCGGGCAAGTTGGCGTTTCTTCTTATTAAATTGACATTCATTTTTTCCATCAAAATATCCATATTTTTTATGTTACAAAGGTAATAAGGTCTTGTCCTGGATTCCAAAAACACTATTGGCTTGAAAGTTAGATTTTTAAAGTATTTCCCTGAGCGTCCTACAAAGAGTTGAAAGGCATGCGGCCGTATTTTGCACCAACTGCAGACGTTCAATGGAGGACTGGCTCACCCCAAAATAAAGTGCGTTACAGTAGTTCACCCGAGATGTAATAAAGGCATTGATTACGGTTTGAAAGTGCTGCTGTGCAGGAAAAAGGTTTGACTTTGACCACCTGTCTGGGATGATGTAGAAGAGCTGAACTTTATACTAGAGAGTTGATTTAATGATCCAATTTATAATCGCTGCCCACCTTAAAACCCAAATTTGAGATGAAAGTGGCGCCATCTTGAACCTGTCCTCTGATACCCGGGGTCTGTCACTAATGGTTCAACAGCCAATGCCAAAAGTTTGGGGTGAAATGAATATTACATTATTAATGAGCATCTTTATTACATGGTATTGAAATGATGAAGGAGTTTTCTATAAATTAGAACCAGTCCGGGGCATCGGTAGGCCTCTCAGGCTGTTAGACGTATCGTCTGGCAGGTCATAATTACCGATGCCCTGCGAGCCCTCCATCCTTACTCCATCCATTAAAGGCCAGAAAGCCATTTCCTTAATGAGCGCTAGAAAGGCCTCTGCTCCTGCTTAGCTTCTGGTTTTCATGTCAGCGTTGCATAGGTAAACCTGCTGTCATGTTTTCTCAGCCGACCTCATTGCCTGTCTACCGGCTGAGTCATGTTTCTGTTCATGTTCTAACATTCCACTCTTTTCTCTTTTTCTTCCCCTTTTCCGTTTTGGACAATCCAGAGGGGAACGGAGGGGTTCTGGAAGTCCGTAGCGCAGTATGTGCCTCGGGACCCAACAGAGATGAGAATCCTCAATCCATACTTCATCTACGAGGCTGCGTTCCACTTCATAGGCCTGCCGTTCAACAACGGGTTAATGGGCAAAGGGGTAAGAGGAGCATTCACATCTGTATCCACCAGTATCACACTGCTTTCACTCGACACTGGTTTCGCTGGCCAACAAGGCGGCGCCACAGTTCCTGTACTAAAAACAGTAAAGTCAAACCTGCTATCAGTGATTTCCATACAGCTCTAAACTCATTAGCAAAGCTAGAAATTGAAGTTTGGAGTTAATTTAAGAGGATTTTCACTCCTGGTTCAGTTTCAATAACAAACTGGAGAACGTCCACAACAGAGGCGTAGCCAGAGAACTTTAATATGGGTGGCGAGTCAGTAACCAGGGTTCCCGCGGGTCCTTAAAAAGTCTTAAAAGGCATTGAATTCTTCAAAAATAAAACTAAGGCCTTAATTGGTATTAAAATGTCTTAAATCAGTCTGTCGTAGGTCTTATTTTTTAAAACATCATAAATAGGATTATTTTTATCACGATTTATTTTTGTAATCTAAATAAAACGTTAAAATTAAAAAAATTTGTATTTTTTTTTTTTTATAAAAGAAAAAATAGTGGCTCTCCATTATTGGTTCCGTCCCGATAGCGGAACCAATAAAGCGTTGTTGCGGCCGGGACATTTGGGAGATGCACCATTAACTTCTTGTCTGGAAAATATGAGCAAGTGCAAATGTAACCAAAAGAGTTTCCTCCATGGCTAAAACCAGGGAACATACATGAGGCTCAGTGGATTTAGTGCAAGAAGTGATTCAAGCTCAGAACGATGGGAATTAAGGCAGTGGAGTCGCACATGCGAAGCGCGAAACACAAAGCGTCAAAATGGAGTTACGGAGAAACAGCCGGTATTTCTCAGTTTAGTTCCACCCTTGTCTCTGCAACGCCTCCACTTATCACCAAATCAAACATACTAAGAAAACCATACAAAGAAAAATAGCTGCAAAAAAGACTTAGCACTGGTTATGTTGGGGCTTTAAAACTGATTTGTTTTGTTCCCTGCTAAAACAAAGTTTGTGAATTCAGTTAAATAATTGTTAAAATATATCTGTCATTTGTGTGTTTTTAGCTTTCTTCCTGTATGGGAAGCTTTTCAACATTTGAAACATTAGTGCAGTGGTTTATGTTAAAATAAACCTTTGGGTTAAGTTGGAGCAAGCAGGTTTTTCTTGTGTTGTGAATTTGGTCTTAATTTTTTATTTCAAGTGGCATTAAAAAGTCTTAAAAAGTCTTGAATTTAACTTGCCTTATGCTGTAGGAACCCTGATAACTAATGCACACTGACCCTGAAATCCTACATCCTCTGTTACCGCCTTGCCCCACTGCGCCCCAGACCACCTGCACAAAGCGAAGCCTGCAGCAGCGGTCACAGATTAGCGGGCCGCGGTCCACATCCGGAGCCTCCTGATTAAAAACATTTATAAATTACCGCATGTTGTCAAACGACAGTCTAACTTCACTTGCGCCGCTTCTCCTGTTAATATGGTAAAGCTCTCCGGAGCGTCCGGCTCCAGGCTGCACGTGATCCAAATAAGCCAATGAGCTGTCAGTCTGGGTTGCTGCTGCTAGCTTCTTTTATGCTGCGTTCACACCGGACACAGCAGGCGCGGCAGAAGCAGCAATTTTACATGCAAATTCAATGGTTGACGTGTGTCAAGGTGCAGCAAAAGGTCCTGCAGCGCGTTTTGAGCAGCTGCTGCTCAAGATAGAAAAATTTTACTTTTGCTGCTCGACGCGCCACGTCAAGCAATCAGAGAATCTAATCTGGGAGCTGGCAGGGAGACAGACACATCACTGCTGACACAGAGCGCTATGATCACTCCTCTGAAACAATTTATTAACGCCTAAATTAGCTTAAAATGTAGAAACCTGCCGGCAAAACATGTTCGCTTTTATTATCCTGGTGCCTGCAGTTTAGATTACGTACATGAAAACCGCTTCCAGCCGCCGCAGCAATCCGCGAGGAGGCGACCGGGCCAGAGGCTGCTGTTGAATGGGATTCCTACTGACAGTATGTGGAGGTCTGAGCGGCTCCGACAGAAAAAATATTGGAAGGCAGGATGATAATCTGAATGAACTGACTGCAATGATTACGTTTTCAGGTGGATTTTCCCACTTAAAAACATCTTAAAACTACTTTATTACCATGGATCAAAGCAAAGACAGCTGCCAGGCAAATAGAGGATAGGGTAGCTCTGCCCAACACGCGCCAAACCCACTTTAGCACCGCGCAGCCAGAGCAGCAAAGCTGCTTCAGCCTCGCGTCAGAACTAAACTTCTACAAGCATCAAAAATGAAGAAGACGATGGGAAAGAGCTCACAAATGTTTAATAAGTTTAAACATTCCAATGAGAGTATTACTGCTGCCACCTTCTGTATTAGAGGGCCACCTCTGGGCCCCCTCCAGCTCCGCCTCTGGTCCACAGACCAACAGAACATTAATGAACTCTAAGTTGAAGAAGAAAAACTAGTGGATGGCCTTTCAGGAAGAACAGGGTTCTATATACTGAAGAGGAGAGAATATTCTCAATCATATTCTGATGTTTTTATGACATTAAAAACACCGTCAGAGGATAATATATGATTAACGGTTGTGTTTGCCTGAAAAAGACAACAGAACGCAGAAAAGTGTTTATATGGTTTATGGATATAAACACTTATGGTAAGTGTTTATATCCATAAACACTTGTATTGGGAGTGTTCATGTACCCATAACACTTATGGACATAATAGCAGACTGGGATTCAGTTGTAAATATTGTGTTTCTATTATTATTGCTTCTCTTTGGCGCTTTTCTGTTTGCTTCCTCGCTCTGCAGTGCTGACAGAGGGACACATTAAAGATGATTTTATCATAAAACCACCGTTTCTGTGTTGGTAAACCATCGAGTCATTTTATTTTCAATCTCTCCTCTTCATTTCTGAGAAAATTCCTCTTTAATATCTTTAAGCAGCGGAGCGTAGATGAGCTGGTAAATGTCATTTAGGGCTGAAACGATTAATTTCACTAATTATTATTAATCAACTCTTAAAATAATCATCACACTGCAAAAACGATCTAGAAATAAGTAAAAATTTCTTAAATTAAGTGTATTCACCCTTAATTTGAGCAGGTAAATGAGATAGTTTGCCAATGGAATGAGTATTTTTACTCTTAAAATAAGAAAATAAGATAACATACACTTAAAATAAAAAAAATGCAATTGTGTTTTTTCTTATTTTAAGTGTAAATTGTCTTGTTCCATTGGCAAAATGTCTCTTTTACCTCCTCAATTCAAAAACAAATGCACTTATTTTAAGAAAAAATGACTTATCTAGATTTAGATTTTTTGCAATGCAACGAATTTTGTTATCGGAATCAAATTGTGACTTAAAGCACACAAAGTCTAAAACGTAATTAGCTGAAAGAGCAATCTACTTAATGCAGAAATTGTGACAAATTTTGAAGATTATATACAATTGTTAGGGTTGTTAATTTTCCCCAACTTTAACCTATAAAAAATGAAACAGACAGTGTCAGATTTTTCCTGAAATGCTTTGCAAAGGGGAATCCTTGCTAGGCTTTTTATTGAGCAGTCAACACATTACAAAAAAGTCAGAATTCTGACTTTTTTCCCATACTATACTGAAATAAAATTAGAAAATCAGTTAACTTTTAATTTTTCAGTGGCCCTAATCTTCTTCCGTACATATATACAAATAAACAAAACAAAAAACACAAACAAACCTTTCTACATTTATCTCTACACCTTCTGAAAATAATTTCTTTGTGCATTTTTTTGAAAAGGAATATGTTTGGGCATCGCTTTAGGTTCTCATTTAGTTTGTTCCACTTAACTCCACGAATTGATAAACATAATCTTTTCTATGTTGTTCTACATCTATTAGTCTTAAAATTTCCCCTTCCCCTTAAATCGCACCCTCCATCATTAGTTGCAGCCCTACAATTTCCCAAATCTTTATTTAGAATTGTCGATTTATTAATAAAGTTTGTTTTAAGATGAATGGTAAAGCTGATCGATGGCTGTATTTTCATTTTTTCCATAACCCGGCTGTCCCAGCATGTGTTGCTGCTACGCAGGCCTTGTTTGTGCTGTTGAGGGGCTGCAGGGGAGTATTGTTAGAAAATCAGAGGGGGCATGAGGAGCACATCACCCCGACTCTGCCCTCTGGGGCTACCAGAACTCCCGGGCGTCAAACTCGCCCGGCCGCCACATGTGTTCAACATCTGCTTGTGTGTGTGAAGGAGGAGATAATGAGTTTGTGTTCACATCGCTGTGTTGAACAATTCAGGCTGCAGACATGTATGATTTAGCACATCATACCCCCCCCATGCTGAGTGTTTATGCACATGGAAATTAATGGGGATATCTATTTGTTATGCAAGTGTTTATGTTGAGTGTGTGTGTGTAAAATAAGGGCGATTAGAAGCATGCAGCGCAGCAGGAGGTTAGCCAGCTGCTGGTGCAGCTCCAGCAACCCTGAGGGCTGCAAATCAGGGTAATGATTTAAATGGGGCCTCCTTACACTCTCTCTTCTCCACCTGCATGTTTTTTTCAAAGCAGACACGTTTTTTTTTTTTTTTTTTGCCTGATTCTTGGTGCTATGTCCACTCCCTCAATCATGCAAACAAAGCGTCTGTGGAGCCAGAGTCTCTGGCAGCCTGGGGCGGTTAGGAAGCACACTTCAGCCCCGTTCATCACCGCGGCCGTGGGTCTGCAAGGGTCACATCTTTAAGGTAATAGTTAATCACCAAGTGCTCCGATTCAGTTAGCAGCAGCAGAGCAGAACAAAGCCAGAGGTGCACAGCAGGCAAAGAAGCATATTTGGCTGCTTGATTAAGGCAGAAATCATTGTCATAATAATTTTGGGTCCAAAACGGAAACAGAAATGTCCTTTTTAAGGTAAACTTTCCACAACCTGATAAATGGTGTGAAAAACGCGCTTTCTGGGTTTAAAAAGCAAAGTTTTATCTGAGCGCTTTAGTCCTCGAACACGAAGAAGTCATGACTGCTGCGTCTCTGATCCCGCTGTGGCCGCTTCACTCCTTGGTTTGCAGGATTTATGACCGATTTGCATGAAACTATTTCCTAAAGAGGGTCGGGTGAAGTCGGGTGTTTGTGATTAACTTTTGATGACAGTCCAGGTCTCGATGCGGGACTTTTATTTTTGTGCTTATCCAGCCTTTTTCTAAGGCATGCATTCTGCTCATGCTAACATACCCCTGCTTAATGTGTGTGGTGACCACTTCTCTGTTTTTACTGCAGAACATTCCAACTTTGGGAACCGTTGCTATAACGATGGCGCTGCATAACTGTGACGAGGTGGCGGTGGCTGGTTTTGGCTACGACATGACATCTCCTCACGCTCCTCTGCACTACTACGAGAATGTCAAGATGTCCGCCATTAAAGAGGTGCGTCGCCCCCTTTTGTGTTTGCATTTTGGAAATGACAAAGAATTTGTGGGTTTCTTTTTTTTATTATTGATGCAAAAATAGAAGAGAAAATGCTTTAACTCATCCTGTTTGGCCTCAGAATAGAAATACGTGTTTAGAGACGCATATTTGACAGGAAAACTATATTTCAAATAAATGGAGTTTATTCATAAAGTTCTAATCAGATGCATTAGTTAAAAACCTTTAACTTAACCAACGCAACACACCACAACAAATCATTGACTTCACAAAGAAAATGAATATCCGCCACTAGGGGTGTGGGGAAAGATTGTTTCGGCAATATATCGTTATTTTCGGCTCCCTGATATAATATCGATATTTCAGTTCCTAATATCGATAAAGAAAAATAAAATACTTGACGGAAAATGTCAGAATCCTAAAATGTCCGTTCCTAAAACTAATACGTTCGCGGTGATTTAATGAATTTAGTGTTAATCAGTAAAAAATGTAAAATAATTATTTTCGTCACGATCACTGAGTCTGGGAGCGGCCATTTTTGCCCTCTCCCAACTCCCAGTAACGCCTCACTCCCAGAGGTGTCAGGTAACAAAGTACAAATACTTCATTACTGTACTTAAGTACACTTTTTAGGTATATATACTTTACTCTATTACTTATTTTTCTTCCTACTTCTGACTTCTACTTGTTACATTTTCACACAAGTATCGTTACTTTATATTCCTTACATTTTTAAATCAAACGTTACTCGTTACTCTTGGCTTCGGTTTAATGTTTCTAAATATTTATTTCCCGTCATGTGCTCCATCCAATGCAGATCATTGGCTCCACCCACATCTGGTGAAAACTAGTGTGATTGGATGAGTCATAGAACGCAAACACTCATTGGTTAGCTAAAGGAAATCATCAGAAGCAAGCAGGTGTTCTTCAAAATGCTAACGTGAATTGTCTATGCCATGCTACAATGTGGGATTCAGAAAAAGATGTTGAAATGTCAACATCTTACATCATACAGCACTGGGACTTGATCAACAGCCGATACCGCACCGTGACGTCACAAACCGGTAGGTGGCAGTAGTGTTCTTTGACAAACATGGATGCCTCCAGTAAAGCACATTCACATGAAAATTACTCTGAATTAAAAACACTGATCATTTATTGAACAGTTTGGAATAATTTCATATTTAAAGAACTTTTAGAAGTTTGAATTCTGACCAAACTTTTCTTTTAAAAGTTTCAAACTCTTTGTTAGATCCATGTATGAAACCCTAATTATTTATTAATTAAGAGTCGTTGTGGAAATCTCAGAAAGCCGCTCCGTAGCAGGATGGAGCGCCGTAGTTTAGAAGAATATATATAAATATTTTGCGAACTCGGTCCGGAGATCAGTAGCAAAATCGGTGTTTCTTTAGAGATGAAAGTTGAGGCTTTAATCTCCAGTGATGTTATCAGATATGAGTGATTCTTCCTGTCTGATATCCTCATTGCTTTGTGTTCGGCCTTCAGAGAGAACTAACAGGTGAATAAAAGAAAGAACTGATAAATCTCATGCTGTCACTTTTCAAAGAGGGAAAAAAAACAAGCAGCAGACTGAATGGTTGGAGATCTTTCATCAGTGGTAATAACACTGCACGCCGTTTGATCACTCCCAGCACAATCAGTCAGTCTTTCTCTGTGTGTTTACGCTGGGATGCAGGGGAATTGGAGATGTCACCCGTGCGCTGATGAGTGTAAACCATGAGCTCAGTATGATGATAACCTTCGTCTAAACTCCCGCGTGAACTTTCACGGTTTATTATCGCCGTCTTCTTCCACACTCGTCTGCTTCAGGAGGCTAAATAAATGGAAAGGCTTTTGTTTGGGAGACGAAGCCAAACTGCAGCCGCTCAGGTTTAATGTTTGCTCCTCAGGAGCCACACAGCTGTGAAGCTATGGAGTCAATGTTCGTACATTATTGTTGCAAGCGAACATTTGAAGAAAAAAATGAAATCCAGAATTTAAATTTTAAAAAACAGTTTATTAAGAAGAAGAAAAAAAATTGCAGATTTTGTTTTTTTTACATTTCCTTTCTTCTGGAGTGAAATCAAAGGCACATTTCTATTTCTAACTAGACGGAGGTTAGCAGCAATATTTTTGTGTTTTTATAGGGTTTTAAGTGAAGGAAATATGATCCAGAAAACACAATTTTTCAAGGATCCAATTCAGAAAACTCTTTAAACTGCAACACAAAAATTTAAAAGAAATTTTTTTGAAAATATCAAATATGTAAAAAAAAAAAGAAAAAAAAAAGAAATGAAATATAGAAAATTTTTGCATTATTGCAACAGCAAAGTTATTCTCAGAACTTTTTTTAAATTAAAATGTTTTTTAAAGTTTAATTTCTGGATTACATTTTTTTTTTTTCACTTTGCAGAACTTGTTCTTGGCTTGCAATGGAATAATGGAAGAAAATTGACTCCATAGATTCACAGCTATGTGATTCCCGAGGAGTAAATATTAGAGTTAGACCTAACGATTATTTTCCAAATTAATTAATCTGTCGATTATTCTTTTGATTATTGATCAAGTATCCAAAGATTCGTAAAATAATATTTAGTACAAAATTACAATCGGTGAAACAAAACTTTTCAACTTGAGGAGTTCTGGATAAAGCAGATTAAGAGATGAAAAAAAATTTTTTTTATCTTAAAGTCGTAGAGACGTCATATGTAAATATCAAATCATTCTGGCTTAATCTTAAACAAATTTAGAACATTTCTATTTTAAAAAAAATCCTGTCTTAAAATCTGTGTTTCTCTCATTATCTTCTGCAGGCCAGTTAGTTCTACGTCAGCCTGAACACCTAAATTCATCCAATCATATATCAACGGTCATCTGTCAATCAAATGTTTTCGGTCATAGCATCTTGATTCATGTGTCGCAGCTAATATACGCAATGGTTGAAATCCGAATCCTTTTCTTTCCCATTGAGTTGCGTCCCAGTGTTCACGGGGATGGACTTCTGTGTCTTCGGCAGGCGTAGAGCTAACAGAACTGGCAGCGTTGCGAGGCAAGGGCTCAAACATGTACGGCTGGAAGCCTTCTACACCAAACCAAGCTTCTGCCGCCCTGGCGTCCTCTTCCACAACATCTTCATCCCGCTTTCCTCCTCTAAATAAATGGATGACGGAGGAGACTCATCCACGACCTCCGACACTAAACTCTCCTCCTCTTGCATGTTTCCGCTGTCCATAGCGTTCCTTGACAGCGTCGTTTCTAAGTCACCAATTTAGTGCTACTTGGTCCCAATGGAATTTCCCATTGGAAACCTGCTAGCACTAAGTTGCTAACTAGTTGGCAAGATGCTTCCAACAAACCGGCTACAATCAAACCTGCTTGCAAACCTTCCGCCACAACAATCCCGCCCCCTTGATAATCGACCAATCACATTCACTTTATTCACTCGTGTAAAGTCGGGCACCACTCGGGAGAAGTCGGAAATGCAACGGTTGGAACAGCCGCTTCCCTACGACTTTAAATGTCAAATGTTTATGCATTTTTTTTTTAATTACTGCTCTAAGTGGGTCGTTCTGTCAGCTAAAAGCATGTTTTAGAGTCTCTATAGTCCAGTTAACGATTATCCATTACTAAATAGTTGATGATTATTTCAATAATCGATTAATCTGATTGTTTTTGCGTAATAAATATTAAATCTATGACTGGCTGTAGTTTTACAAACATTCGGGATTGCATTCTTTTTCTCATTTTTGTCCAAAACTTGTTCTTTGCAATAATAATGGAACAAAATACCCTCCATAATGAACGATCTGCTGAGGCTGGAGCTGATCAGAAATGCTGGGATCCCACCAACTGTTTTAAATGTTTTAAACCAACATGGCGCTCCAAGGTAACCCCAGGCTTCTGAAAGCCGTTTATAGCTGATGGCGTTTTCAGTTCATCCAGCTGTTTCAAAACAGATGATGTGTATCAGAGTAAAAGGTGATAAAGATCAGCATTGCTGCCATCCAGCTCCGTCTTTTATGCTTGATAAAGCTCGCTGTACCTGCATTCCTCTCTGCTCTCTAGGCTTTTCATCTCCAGGATCGTCACCTGGACGCCTTATTAGAAAGTCAAAATGTCATTTTTATTTAAGCTGTTGCTTAGAATGATAAACGCAAAAACATCGGTTTCTGAACTGTAGAGTAAACTGAACTTTGCTTCTGCTCTAAAACGCTGCTGCATGTGGTCCTGAAATTTAAGGAAACTGTTACATTGATTAAAAATATTTTTTTTTTTTATAAAGAGGTGAGAGAGATACGCTGCGCTTACCTGCTCTGTTTGCCCCTCGTTATTTAGTTTTAGTGAGGTTCAAAGAGGATCACTGCTTTATCCCTTTTCTGTCCTGAACTCCTATCATGGGGAAAGTTTCTATTTTATTGTTTCATTGTTTTCGCTCCAGTCTGTCCTGCTTAATATAAACGCGATGTGCGACTCCAAACGGATTCTTTTGTATTTTCTCCCAAAGCGGATATTTTACTTTGAAACCACGTCTCTCTTCCTGTCCGACCAATGAAATTGTTGCTGAATTGCTGCATCGTCTGACTAAAATAGACCTGGCCTCTAGTCGTAGCTACGCTGCCCCCTGCAGGAAATCGTGTCATGTGTGATCATTCCCATTAGCTCCATTTACCATTTTGAAACTGTGCCTAGATCGGTCCGAGCACGGTAACTGAGATTACTGTTGAGTGTAAATGGTATGCAGAACAGAACTGGCCGTACCAGACACAACTGAACCGCGCTAACATGGTAATAGTTCATCAGAATGGCTCGGCGCTGGTTTAATTCTGGTGCGGTTCAGTTCTGGCGCGGTTTAGTTCTGCCCCGGTTTAGTTCTGCCGCGGTTTAGTTTTGGCGCGGTTTAGTTCTGGCGTGGTTTAGTTCTGCCGTGGTTTAGTTCTGCCGCGGTTTAGTTCTGGCTCGGTTTAGTTCTGGCTCGGTTTAGTTCTGGCTCGGTTTAGTTCTGGCGTGGTTTAGTTCTGCCGTGGTTTAGTTCTGCCGCGGTTTAGTTCTGGCTCGGTTTAGTTCTGGCTCGGTTTAGTTCTGGCTCGGTTTAGTTCTGGCTCGGTTTAGTTCTGGCTCGGTTTAGTTCTGGCTCGGTTTAGTTCTGGCTCGGTTTAGTTCTGGCGTGGTTTAGTTCTGCCGTGGTTTAGTTCTGCCGCGGTTTAGTTCTGGCTCGGTTTAGTTCTGGCTCGGTTTAGTTCTGGCTCGGTTTAGTTCTGGCGTGGTTTAGTTCTGCCGTGGTTTAGTTCTGCCGCGGTTTAGTTCTGGCTCGGTTTAGTTCTGGCTCGGTTTAGTTCTGGCTCGGTTTAGTTCTGGCTCGGTTTAGTTCTGGCTCGGTTTAGTTCTGGCTCGGTTTAGTTCTGCCGTGGTTTAGTTCTGGCTCGGTTTAGTTCTGGCTCGGTTTAGTTCTGGCGCGGTTTAGTTCTGGCTCGGTTTAGTTCTGGCTCGGTTTAGTTCTGGCTCGGTTTAGTTCTGGCTCGGTTTAGTTCTGGCGCGGTTTAGTTCTGGCTCGGTTTAGTTCTGCCGTGGTTTAGTTCTGGCTCGGTTTAGTTCTGGCTCGGTTTAGTTCTGGCGCGGTTTAGTTCTGCCGTGGTTTAGTTCTGGCTCGGTTTAGTTCTGGCTCGGTTTAGTTCTGGCTCGGTTTAGTTCTGGCTCGGTTTAGTTCTGGCGCGGTTAGGGCTGGGTACCGAACTTCGGTTCTTTTATGGTACCGACCGAAATGCTTCGGTTCTACAGAGTATCGAAACATGCCTCGTCTTTCGGTACCAAGTTTCGGTGATTGGCTGTAACACTTAACGTGATTGCGTCATCCAGGAAAAATACACAGGTGGTCCCGCCTACAGCCAGGGTTCATGTGTATCTGTTGTGAACTGGTTGCAGCGTCGCGGAACCCCTTTAAAATGCCCCCCAGGTCAAAAGTGCGGCTTCACTTTATTAAGACTGATGCTAATAGTGCGCAATGCAATACATCGCGCACGTAAACAATTTAAGAGCAGAAAGTTGCTCGGTGTTTGACTGCAAGAAGAGCGGACCGCAGCCGGCGCAGCCATCCTCCTCTCAGCAGCCCGTGGGCGGAGCAAAGCCAGACCGGAGTGAATCATGCTGCTTTCAAACTGGACGCAGCAGAAGCAGCAAAATCACGTCTGCTGCTTCCTTTTTTGCTGCTTGTACCAGTTTCTGACGCGCGGCTGAAGAAGCTCTGCTGCTCTGGCTGCGCGGTGCAAAAGTGTGTCTGATGCGCGTTGGGCGGAGCTACTCTATCCTTTATTTGCCTTGCAGCTATATTTGCTGTGATCAGTGGGAATAAAGTAGTTTTATTATGTTTTTAAGCGGGAAAATCCACCTGAAAATTTAATCAGTGCAGTCAGTTCATCCTGCCTTCCAATATTTCTGTGGGAGCCGCTCAGACCCCCACATACCAGCGGTGCGCTGTCAGTAGGATCCCATTCAACGGGCTTGTTTGTCAGACATGGTAATTTTTAAAGGAAAACTGCTAAGTAAAAAGGTCCTCACAATGTAACAGTAAATATTAGACACTGACTTTTTTTATGTAAGAGGAAAAATGTAAATGGAAAAATCAGAGCTTAAAATAAAACTCAAGATTTGTACTTTTTTATGTTGTGTAATTTTCTTTTTCTTTGAATGGATATTAAAAAACTGGTATCGAAAAAAGTATCGTTCAGGAACCGGTATCGAAGTGAAGGTACCGGTATTGGTATCGGAACCGAAAATCTTTGAACAATACCCAGCCCTAGGCGCGGTTTAGTTCTGGCGCGGTTTAGTTCTGGCGCGGTTTAGTTCCGGCGCGGTTTAGTTCCGGTGCGGTTTAGTTCTGCCATGGTTTAGTTCTGCTGCGGTTTAGTTTTGGCACGGTTTAGTTCTGGCGCTGTTTAGTTCTGGCGCGGTTTAGTTCTGCTGCGGTTTAGTTTTGGCACGGTTTAGTTCTGGCGCTGTTTAGTTCTGCCGCGGTTTAGTTCTGCCGCGGTTTAGTTCTGGCTCGGTTCTCAGATAACAAAGAGCGAATGAGCTCACCGCGTCATCCCCCCACAGCCTCCGTAATCATGAAACTTCAGACATTCATAAAATATACTAGCTTCCCGACTGTGCAACACCATTTCAGTGATGATTCTGCTTAGCAGGGTGATGAACCTCAACGTTTTTAATTGTTTCCTGCGTCTGTAAGCCCTGATTAGATCATTGTTTGCCGTATCCGCTTTCCAAACGCCGACTCTGTCAAGGCTGCCTTCTTCGCCTGACTCTCCGCGAAAAAGCAAATACCACAATGACAACAAAACATAACTTCCTGAATGATACGGTTGCCGCCATGTTGGTTTGCTTGTTTACCTCTAGTAAGCAGTAGTACTGTAGATCGCCACTAGGAGGCGAGGAGCCACTTGGTGTGTAAACCGTGGTAAGGAACCAAGCTCGGCACGGTTAACTGATCCAAGCCCGGTCAGAACTCGGCACTGATCGGTTTTCAGAGGGTAAATGGGATTATTGAGTTTCCTACATCCATACATTTTGCACCATACTTCATCCCTGCTGGGGTCGCGAGGGGTGCTGGTGCCATCTTTCTCCAGCCGTCTACGGGCGAGTGGCAGGTTACACCGTGGACAGGTCGGCAGTCTGTTGCCGACTATTGACTTTCAATGAGCGCTAAACGCCACAACCTTGTTCTCGAATCAGATGCAAAATCAGATTCAGTGAGTTCTGGCCTTAAGCCGTAAGGTAGGGAGAAAATCTTAACATGTTTGAAATTCAGTCGGCCGTCGTAAGCTAGTCGTGGGCAAATCGCTCAGTGGGCAAACAAGAATTCTTCTTCCTGTCAGATGAAAACACCTGCATGGCGGGGGTGCGAGTGAAATGGAATTTATTTCAGTAAAACTGACAGACCGTAGTAGCCATGTTAGCTTAGCCATGTCTTTGTCCAAATACGTCGTTTCCTTTTCTTTTTAGGGCTTTAGCACAAAATTGCAAAAATAGCCAAGGCAGCGCGTTTCCCTCTACTGAGCTTCATATTCCTCTGCTACTCATTTGGCTTCTGGATAGACGAGTCCGAGTAGCGCCATCTCACTGCGGAGCTGAGTCCCACCTGGTTTTTAGACGTACAGTGTGAGCAGGTAGATCGCATTATAGCGTCGGGTCATACAGTGTGAGAACAAAAATCGTGAGCTGTGAACTTTTAAACCCTGCGTTTTCGTCGTAAAGTGTGAGCTGTAGCTGCGAGCAACGATTGAAAATATCGTACAGTCGATGCCCGGCTTTACAGAAAATGGCCTCAAAAATCTTTTCTTCAGCAACTGAATGATAACAGAACACATGTATGAGAAAAGCTCAAGGAAACTGATTCATTCTTTAAAGAAAAAAATCTGCAATAAAATTGGTTTCTTTAAATCCGAAGATTCTTTTCGGATTCACTGGATATAAAAGTCTCCATGACATCGTTTGCATTTTTGGAGTTTCTCACTCTACGGCGTCTTTATTGAAGCGGTTCCCAATAATCCTTTATTGGAAACTCAATCTAAAAAAAGAGAATGAAAGAAAAAACACATATATATGATATAAAAAAACTTCTAACGTAAATCTGTTCTTTTTTTGTTTTTCTGCAGTCTTGGACTCACAACATCTCCAAGGAGAAGGAGTTTCTCCGTAAGCTGGTTAAAGCCAACGTTATCACGGATCTCACCAAAGGAATCTGAGTTTAAACCCACAACCTCCCTCTGCCGCTTCCACGGAAGACCGACCTGAAAGCTGGAACGCAGCGAGAACCCCCTCAGGGGGGGGGTTGATGAAAGATGCTCTTGCGTGCCTTCAGAACTGAACCATGACTCAGTAGGACCGGACCTGCCGGCGGCGGCGTGCCAAGCGGCCGCGCCGCTTCAGACGTACTGTATCAGTGTGAGGACGGCGGCCCTGCAGGCTCTCTGCTCCTGGACCCGGGGCGGCGTGTGGGGGACGGGTCGCGCATTAGCAGTGCCAAACGTACCTCGCGCCGGGGAGCCCCCCCACCCCCCTCCTGTTTTGCCTGAATGTATTCTCTTTACTCTGTAAATATCAAAGGTTTGTACTGTGCTTTTTACCGAGCTGCAGTAGCTCCATCACCTCATCCGCCTCCTTCCAATCATCGTGTCATTGAGTCCGAGTCCGTGTCCCGACCCGTTCGCAAATCAATCTTCACCTCCAAACGGAA